TTTAGGATGTTGAGGCAGCCACAACAGCACAACTATAGACACTCATGAGAGTACTTCCAGAAAGCGTGTCAACATGAAGAGGAGGATTCCGAGGGTGATAAATGACAGTACATCTTTTATTGCAATAATTTTTTAAAAAAATAAGCATCAACTATGATTTTGAAACATGGCTCATATATCCCCGGCCCTTTTTTTTTTTTTTTTTAAGTTTTTTGTTTTTGTTTTTGGTTTGTCTTCTTATTATCTCACACTTTCCCACCTCCTTCTCTTCCCTGTGTGCAATGTCCTTCCAGTGTTCTCTGCCCCTCTAGAACGGTTCCTTGCTTCAGACTTTTTTCCCACTGGCTTGCTCACCTTTCTTCTGCTGTTCTTATCTTTAATAAACACATTCTGAGTCTCTATCCTTTCATGGTTAACTTGTCCAATAACGCAAATGCTGTCTCTTCAGGGGGCAGCCGTTAGTGAATGCGAAGGAGACTAAGGTCTGATGGCTTTCCAGGCATATTTGCACTTGAACAGAAGACTATTTTACCCAAAGAATTGCTGCAGTTCTTTAATCCAGTGACTGGTAAAATTCTAGAATGTGCAGAGAGGGTGGAAACGCCAGTACACAAGATGTTGATGGTGGTATATTTGTTATTGGTCAGTTGGTGTTAGAAGTGCTGGGGATCGAACCAGGGCTTTACACCTGTTAGGCACATGCCCTACCCTGGATCTGTATCCTCAGCCCTTTAAATTTATTTTGAAATAAGGTCTCACTTAGTTGCACAGGCTAGCATGGAACTTGCAAATTTGCCTCTGCCTCCCATACAGTTGGAATTACAAGTGAGCCTCACCATGCCCAGCTTGCGCTGTTTTAACAGAACAACACTGGAAGTAAATTATGTACGCAGCTTTAGGAAGTTGTTAGGTAAATTACAGTATATCCATATAGTCGAATGTTATCTATAGAGTTGTGAGTGACATGGGGAAATGGGTATGATATGTTAAATAAAAAGCCAAAAACGTAAGTGTAGATTCAGCCAAATTCATGCAAATACAGAAAGTAAGAGTAATTATAAACACACAAAGTGATGGTAAACAAATATATCAAAATCTAGACTCTAGCTAACTTTCTGTTGAAATTATAGGTGCTTTTTCCAATTTTTAAAATATTTTTTGAAATTCATCAATACTTTCACATTTTCTATTTAAGTATGCACTTAGTCTGTGCTTGAAAGAAGCAAAAAGAACACTACCAAGAGAGTGAAAAGACAACCCACATAATGAGGGAAGAGATTTGCAAGTTGTATCCCTGAAAAGGGTTTAATACCAGAATATGCAAAGGATCCCTACAACTTAATAACAAAAAGACAATCCAACCAACTGAAAAATGGGCAATGGAACTCAAATAGCTTTTTTTTTAAGCCAACAAGTACTTGCAAAGACATTCAACGTCACTAACCATCAGGGAAATGCAAATACAAATCTCAGTGAGATGCCATTTCACACCTAGAGGGCGGCTATAATAAAACAGCAGGATAACAAGATGTGGAGAAACAGGAACCTTTAAGCATTGTCAGTAAGACCAGAAAATGGTGGAGCCACCATAGAAACAGTTTGGGAATTCTTCATACAGTTAAGCATGAAATGACATGAAACCCACCAATTGCATCCCTAGGTATGTGCTCCAGATAATTGAAAACAGATACTACTTAGACGAATGCATGTACATGAATGACCTTCGAAGTACTATTCATAATGGCCCAAGGGTGAAAACAGCAGATGAAGGGATGAATGAATGTGGTATATACATTTCAGTTGTGAAAGGGAATGACATTTTAATGCATGTCACAATGTGGGTAAACCTTGGAATATTATGCTACAGGAAGAGTAAATGTTGCATGATTCCACTTATATGAAATATGGAGAATAAGCAAATTCACAGAGACAGAAAGCAGATCAGAGTTCAGGAGGGGCCAAAAGGCAGAAGGAGAATTTATGGCTAACTGGGTACAGGAGTTCTGCTTGGAGTAGAGAAGACCTATGAAAACAATTGTGATGGTTACATGACATTATTAATATAATTAACACCACTGAATTTTACAATTTAAAATGGTCAAAATAGCAACTTTATGTTATATATAGGTTATATGTATTCATATATAATATATAGATACTAAAACAAATAAAAGCTCTCTAAAGTCATACAGCCAACTGCTATTTGTCAATTTGAGTCAAGTCTGGCCTGTGAGAGCTTTCTATGTTTTATACTCAGTTAGCTATCGAGGCTGTGCAGATCTAAAGCTTGTATAGTATTTTGTTTTGTTTTGTTTTTTGAGTCAGGGTCTCATATGTAGTTGAGACTGACCTGGAACTCACTATGTAGCCCAGGGTGATCTCAAACTCACAGCGATCCTCCTGCCTTAGCCTCCTGAGTGCTGGGATCCCAAGTGTGCACCACTACACCTGGCCTTGTGTGGTATTTTAATCTTTCCACTTCTGCTCATAAGGGGCTTAGTTTAATTATTTCTTTGCAACACAACAAAATTCAAGGGCCATTTGAAGTCACCAAGCCGGCTAGGTCTTTTGTACAATTTCTCTGAGACTCCAATCTCTTGTTTATAAAATAGGAAATGATATTAGCACCTATCTCACAGAACTCTCGTAGCAACTAAAGGAAATGAAGTGTAAGGGAAATGTTTTGCCCATAGTTGAGAAGACATAAGGCCTTGCTTTTCAGAGTGTGTTCCATCCACTTAGTAGACGGGCATCCCCAGGGAGCCTGCTAGAAAGTAGAATCATGACCCCTCCGTACACATACACACACCTCCCTCCAAATCAGAATATGCACACTATTAAGATCCTCAGGAGATTCGAGTTAAAAGCCATGATTTAAAAGGTTTTATAAGTAGTTCTCAATCCACACCAATTATTAAAATGGCCTAATTGTCCCCAGCCTTTTTAAATTTTTTGTTTTGTTTTGTTTTTAAACTTTGAGCCAGAGTCTTATCAAGTTACTAAGTTGCCAGGGCAGGTTCAAACTTGCAATCCTCCTGCCTCAGCCAGTGCTGGGGTTACAGGCCTGCACCTCCACACCAGGCCACCAGGCTAGTTTTTTGGGTTTTTTTTTAAGATATCCCCAAGCATTTCCCCTGAAAATACTGATCTAATTGGGCTCAGGTGGGTCATTGCAGTCAGAACAATTTAAAAGCTTTTCAGTGAATCAGATGTGCTAATAGAATTTAGAATTACTGGGCTTCCCCAGCATCCTCTTCTACCCAAAATTAAAGTATTAGAATTGTAGTACTTCCCATATATTTAAAAATGACATTTATTATATGTGTGCTCCTTTATTGGAGATATATAGTATGAAAAACTTCAAGATAATGAAGGAACATAGGAAAAATGACAGTGAACCACATGGTCCAAGACCTCTTAGTGTATTTTCCTCTTGTCTGTTGGGATGGGGTGAGGGTGTGGAAAGAGTTATGCACACGTGCTGTGTTCCTCTCTCTCTCTCTCCCGCTCTCTCTCCCTCTCTGACTCTCTCTCCCCTCATTTTTCCTTTCCTTTTGCATTGCTGGGGATAGAACCCAGGCCCTCCTTGGATGCTTCCTACCTCATGCCACACCCAAGGCCTCAACTATTGACAATAATCTGTATTTGGTAATTCTTTTTTCTCCAGAATGAAGTCCCAGTTTTATAAATGATACATCTCATATAAAAGCTTTCAAGACTTCATATATTTATTCATATGTTAATTGTTAAAATGCACTAATTCACAGTCTATCGGCAATATATAATAGAATTCAGTACAATTTTTTTTTAAAAAAAGGCCTGGCTAATTTCATAGATGAAAATATTTTTAGTTTTAATTTTCTCAACCAACAATACAGTTAATATACATTCATTTACCCCATACTACTTTCATATGTTAGACTTTTACAGGTTGAATGTATGAATTATTGTCTATCTCTTTTTCCCATTTCTCTTTGAGATAAATTTTCATGAACTGAAAAAGAGTGTTTAGGGCTGGGGATTTAGCTCAGTGGTTCCACCACTGCCTTCCAAGCTCAAGGTCCTGAGTTCGATCCCCGGTACCAAAAAAAAAAAAAAAAAAAAAAAAAAAAAAAAAGAAAGAAAGAAAACAAAAAGTGCATTTATATGTTACAGTTATCAAGTCTTCAGTTTTCATTATGGTATTTCTGCTTAAAAATAGTTTTGTTTCTTTCAAATTCCTCCACTATCTGCTCAGCTGTCACTCATTTTTTCCCTAGTATATCTATAGTCATCATTTCTTAAATACAGTTTTCAAATCAATTCAAAATTAACTTCGGCATATCTTGAATTACATCCAAAGTATGTAAATTGATTTATTCAAGAGAATAACCAGTTGTCTCACCATTCTGCCCTTTTATATAAATTTATAAAAGTCTATCCCACAATGGATTCTTACTAAAGCTCTGTTCTTTATTTTTGTACCAATATTATCATGTTTTAACCACCCTAACTTATTAAATTTAACTATGTGATTGTTATTTTAATGTCTGTATCTTCAAAACCAATCTTAAAGTTTGTAAGAAAAATGTACATTGTTACTGTGACTGCAGTTGCTTCATTTTCCTAAATTAATTTGAAGAGAAGTGGCAGACATACCACATTTAGCCTTTTTAGTCAGAAATTTATCACACCTTTCTATTTAGCCATTTTATTTTATCCTCCTAAACTTGTGTCATTAAAAAAAATATGAGAATATATCTTACTAAAATTATTCCTAGGTTTTTGATTTGGTTATGGTTATTAGTAATTAAATACCATCATTTCTTTGTACTAAGCAGTGGTTATTTATAAATATATCACTTTTAGGGATTCACCTTATATCCAGCAACTTTACTGAACTTCCTGATTAACAGCTTTTCATTGATTTGTTTGATTATTCTAAATACTACATAATATCTTATGCAAATAAAAACTTTATCTCCTCTTTTCCACTGCCAAGTTTTGGTTTGTTTCTCACTGAATTAGCCTAAACTTCCAGAGATTTTTTTTAAATGCATTTGGATTTCAATACTAGTTTATTTAAGAATTCTACATATATATTTACAAGTGAAGTTTCTTACTGTTTTCTGAATGTGTATTTGTGTGTACCTGCTAATTTTTTTTCAGGTTTTGGCATTCAGATTATAGTTTTATAGAATGAATTGGATACTTTGCCCTTATTTTCTATATTCAGAAATAGTTTAATCTCTTTAGAAATAGTTTAATCTAGAAAATATACAGCATAGCTTTAATTTTTAAGAATACTCATCTGTGAAATGTTTATGCTGTTTGGAGTGACACGTGAGGGCAGCTGACAGAAATGACAGCACTTTCTCTGGTTTGTGCTTCAGCCAAAAGTTTTCTCTTGCTCTTAAATCATGTTGATCATGAATCATTTTCCACAAATGTATCCATTTCTTGGGATTTACACTAGCACAGACTTTTTGTTAATAATATTCTCATATATATCTGAATGCTTTGCTAGGTCACCTGTTTTACACATTTGATTTTTTTCTCTTCCTCCAAAAAGAATCATTGGGTGTTTTAAATGATGGCAGTGATGATTTCTACTTTAGGAGTTTTGCTTTTGTCTTTATCACTTCCTCCTTTTTGCTTTGTTTACTTTTTTCTTAACTTCTTCAGGTAAACATGTAGGCTAGAGGGATTTTGTTTGTTTTCTTTTATTCATTGTGAAATTACATACAGAGGATCCTTGACTTATGAACTCAGTTCATTCCCGAGGACTGATTGTAACTCAAAGTGGTTAATGAAGGCTCAGACTCCTATACACAGCCTTCAAAGTCTCTCTCCCGTACACAGGCAGATCTCAGTGTCCTTAGACAGACAATGGCCCAGGCTTTCTCACCTAACCGCAAACAGGAAAGGATGCTGTAACGTTCCTACCACTGCATTTGACTTTTCCCTTTTTAGTTCTAATAGTTATTTAAAGATTCTCAAAAATGTTTTTAACTCATGCTTTTTAAACACCAGGATGCTGGTGAATGTGTAGATAACGTGTACGTGGATCATCAGGAAAGAATCGATTCCTTCTCGCAAAACTGTAAAGTTTACCAAGGTGAGAGATAACACGTTGGCTCCCAGCAGTGCAATAGCGTCCAAAGGCTGGATCTGTGCAGGGGCCTTGCTTTTGCTTCCCTCGGATCGCACACTGTGTAACCCTTGCGCCTTCTGAGAGCTCCGCACCCTGCCCTGCCCAGCCCAGAGTGAGAGCACCTCGGGGGGCGGAAAGGGAAAGGCGCGTTCTGTGGGCAAAGCCGGCCTTCAGGAAGGGGCCAGCGGCTCTCCTTTATGTACAAGATGCTCTTAAATCTGGTGCTGTAAACTGGAGAAAACGATCTTATTTTCAACCACTTAGAAAAAGATCCTCCTAATTACTTATGTTTTCCCTTCACGTTATAATGAAGGAAAAGGGAGATAGTATGAGTTTATGGTTAAATTAGCTTTTGTTGTAAAAAAGAGTTGGCTAAGGGCCAGGGATTTAGCTCAATGGCAAATCCTGAGCCTGCCTTGCAAGCGCAAGGTCCTGAGTTCATCCCTGGTACCGACAAAACAAAAAAACAGAGCGAGAGAAAGAGAGAGAGAGACAGAGAAAGGGGGGGGGAGTTGGCTTTTCTCACACTTGGAAAATAGCTGCGTACATTCCATGGTAAGAAACATTACTCTTGCTGCCTGCTCACCAGAGCCACGAGAGTGGAGCATTTTCTGTTAGAGTAACGCCTTTAAGCATTGCTTTTCACAGTTTCCACCAAAGGGGCAAAAACTCAGAAAAAGTGGAGCACACGGACTGGGTCACTAATGCCTTTTGGGTGACTGTTTCCCGTGTTTGAAGCTGCACACGCGGCTGCGCATGCTGACGGAAAGTCTGATTCTTGCAGGGCTGGATTTTGTGGTGCCAACTTCCAAGTTTTGCGCTGGCTGCCCCCTCCCCATACCTGCGGACGACGAGGAGCTGCAGGAGGCGCTGACTCATTCCATAAGGAAGCTGAATGCAGAGAACAATGAAACTTTCTATTTCAAGGTTGACACCGTGAAGAGAGCCACAGCACAGGTCTGTAAATCATGCCACAAAAATAGGACTGCTGTGGTCCGCGCGCAAATTGCTTGCTAGTTTCGCCTTGTATCTTGGGCTCTCGTTTGGGAAACAGTATAGTGGGTGATGAGCTGTGGTAGATTTGGATTCCAAATCCTAGGTGCGTGTTTGATGTGTGCTCTTGGACAAGTCTGTTAAAACATTCTGCTTTCTGGGCTGGGGATTTAGTTCAGTGGCACAGTGCCTGCCTTGCAAGTGCAAGGTCCTGAGTTTGATCCCTGGTACCAGAAAAACATTCTGTTTTCTATGCGTAAATGAGTGCCATGAAGATCATGTAAGATATGTATGTCAAGCTACAATGCCATATAAATACCATCAACTGTTGTAGTTTACTAAAATTCAGAGCTAGGAAAAGACTTTTATTCTAAGCCTTTCCAGACTCATCTCTCATTATAAGACTCATGGGCTTAGCTACATCAATCTGTCCACAATTGGCTGGATTTTCCAGTCTTTCTTCCATTCTTCTTTCTTTCTTTCTCTTTCCTTCCTTTTCTCTTTCTTTCTTTGTTGCTTTCTTGCTTTCTTTTCCTTCCTTCCTTCTTCTCTTTCTTCATTTTTTCCTTCCTTCCTTCTTTCATTCTTGCCTGCCTTCCTCCCTTCCTTCATGAGGCTCTGAGAATTCAATCCAGGGATTTCACACTTTACACTGAGTTACATCCCCAGCCCTTTTCTATTTTGAGACAGGTTCTCACTAAATGACCTGGACAGGACTGCAACTTTGGATCCTCCTGACTTGGCCTCCCCAGTGCTGAGATTATAGGCGTGTCGGTCTCAGGACTTTCCACACTCTTGTCTGTGTTATGTCTGTGTTATTTCTTCTACCTTCCCCCCTGCTGGGATGCTCTTCCCTCTTACAAATGTTCCTCTGGGGACTCATCTCTTCTCATGTGGGGTCAGTAGAGGATAAGGAGTCCCTCAGGTGGAGTGAGGAGACCAACTCTACCTGTCAGTGTATCCTGGGTGACCTCCGGTAGCCATACAAAGGTCCTTAGCCTTTGCAAAACAAGAGCCCGGGATGTGGTGGCACACAGCTGTGATGTCAGCACTCTGGGAGACTGAAGCAGAAAGACTTCAACTTTAAGGTCCGCTTGGGTGACTTAGCAACTTAGTGAAACCTGGTCTCAAAATTAAAAGGGCTGGGGATGTAGTACAGTCTGAAGGCCCTGAGTTCAATTTCTAGCACCACGACAAAGAAAGAGTCCAAATCTCTACCAACTCCACAAGCTATGACCATCAAGTCTGTGGACAGGACTCCTACTCTGGAGATTCAAAACTGGCTTCCCTAAACACAAGCCACAGAAAAGTAACCAGACCAGAGCCAACTTGTTAACAGCAAGCCAGCAATCTGGTGAAGAAATCCTTAATTAAAAACTCATACTTTGGGTTCAGTGATTGGATTTCTAGGGATCTAAAATAAAAGTCTTAAAAAAAAGTCCTTATGATATTCACTGTGGTTTTAATTAAAAGAACAAAAGAATGTGAAGCTGTCAAAATGATTAGAAATAATTAGGCTATGCCTGCTGTATCCTTACAAGGGAATGTTAAGCAGCAACTCAAAAGTATCTTAGAGAGAGGTGGGAAATGTCTCGTGTTATAATATTCAGCGAAAAACAAGGTTGTAAAATTAAAGATACACTGTGTCCTCGATTATGTTTCAGATGAGTACAAAAAGCGATACTGAGGACAGAGGCGAATGTCTCGAGCTATTCAGTCATAGGTTTTAGACGATGACCCAAAGAGCTAATTATTTTCATCTTTCTAATTTCCTGTGTTAGTTTCATCACCAGAAAAAGTAAACAGACTTCATTTTACAAAATCACAACTGACACATGGATTTTTGTATGGCTCGCTCTCATCTCAGACAGCACCGTCACCTCCTCCCTGGTTTCACGGCCACGTGCCGTGTGTGTGTGTGTGTGTGTGTGTGTGTGTGTTTGTGGTGCTGGGGCCTGAACCCAGGACCTTCACATTGAGCTACATCCCCAGCATATTTTTATTTTTAATTTTGGGACAGGGTCTCACCAAGTCACTAGGTTCCCCAGGCTGAGCTTAAACTTGCAATCCTCCTGCCTCAGCCTCCCAGAGTGCTGGGGTTACTAGCCCGCCTTGGCATGCTCAACCTGTGCTACTCCTGTTTACACCAACTTTGCTTCCCATTTTCCGTGTTTGCTTTCCCGTGAAATTCCTGTCTCCTCAATGATGCCTTAACTGTCTGCTGCATCTTGTGTGTCAGAGGTTTGCGGTGGAGGAGGAAACCGCTCATTTTCAAACATGACGATTGGGAGCAGTTGCGGTTCTCTCTGTAAATCAACTAATCAGCATTTGTGCTTGTGCTTATATGAGGATGCCAAGAGCATCCCCTCAGGCTGTTGTTAAATCAACCTAAATCAAGGGAGAATTTCAAACTTGCTTTGAACAGATGAATCTTTACTGATTCCCGCATTTAAAAGAGCGATCTGATTGCTTAAACATAGTCATTCAGCAGAGCCTTGGTGGAAAAAGCCAATTTACAGGAAACAATTAATCATATGATTGCAAAACAGCAAAGTACAACACACACACACACACATATTTAGCTAGTAAAATTATCTGAGGAGTGTAATGCTTGTGCGTGTGTGTGTGTGTGTGTATCTTTGCAATCTATTTATTTTATTTTATTTATTTATTTAAAAAATTTTTGGTACTGGGGATCAAACTCAGGACCTTACACTTATGAGGCAGGCGGCGGTGCCACTGAGCTACATCCCCAGCCCTGCTGTCTATTTTACACACACTGACAAAAGAGACTGTGAAATATTGCCATGTAGAATATGTGACCAGACCACAGCATGTGTACAAAGACTTGCTGATCATTTCTTAAATAAAGGCTTCAGAAATGTTTTCTTAAAAAAAATTAACCATATGATGAATCTGCTAAGAACCAATCTCCAAATCCCCGGTTTGTCAGGCTCCCAGAGATTTGCTGTATCCTCCTGCCTGGGGTTTTTCATGTGCAATATCCTGCGTGGACCTCACACCCACCCCAAAGTAGATGCCATTTCAGGGACTGCACACTTCCAGAATCTTCCATGTTCCCATCAGTGAGCAGGATTTCTGTCCTGTGCTGTTTCTTTTGCTGCACTCCCATGGGGCTGGGCGGGAGCCAGCGGCTGTTCTCCCTGCCTCGGCAAACATCAAAAATCTATGCGTGCATATTTGGGAATCTTTCCTCTAACTAAGTCTTTGAAATAGGCATTGTCTGAGGCTTCTGATACAAATGGCCATATCGCCACACTATTTGCAACAGTGCTGATTTATATGCACACCAAGGGAGTATGCGACTCAGTTGAGGATCTTGATTTAAATTCTCCTCCTAGCAGTTACGATCGAGGCTGTGTGTTTCCCATGCCTGAATCCCAGCGAACACCAGGCACAGCTGCTGTTTTCCATCCTTGCCACCGCGTAAGGTTGAAAAGGATGCCATGCTGCTTCCTCATGTGTTTGTCTTTGTCTAATAAAACTGAACCTTGATTTCACCCTTGATGCCCATTTCAACTTCTTGGGCTTTATATACACAACAATATCGATCCTGCATCATAATATTCCCAATTTGCCTTTTACCTTGCTTGTTGTAGTTTTTGAGAATCAGTTTTCGTTCTCTGCTAGTCAAACCTAAGCATTGTCTCCTACTTTTCCCTTAAGAAAAGCCTTCTACATCCTGAGTTCTATTGACTATTTATGTTTTTCCAGTTACTCTCTTTATTTTTAAAGTGCATTTGGAAATTATATTACTGTTTATATTTATATAGGGTGTTCTCTGCTTTAAAAAAATGGGTAAGATGGGTTTGAGCTGGGAAGACTTCTGATAAGAACACCTGAAAAACAACAACAACAACAACAACAACAACAAAAACAAAGGGCCAGGCCAGGGATTTAGCTCAGTGGTTCTGCTGCTGCCTTGCAAGCAGAAGGACCCAAGTTCATTCCCTGGTACCAAAAAAAAAAACAAACAAACAAACAAAAAAAAACACCTGATAGGGCTGGAGATTTAGCTCAGTGGTTCCACCGCCTGTGTCAGAAGCACAAGGTCCTCAGTTTGATCCCCGGTACACACACACACACACACACACACAAAGAACAACACCTGATAGTAACAGGAATATGGACATGATCTTGCAGCCCTAGAATGGAAGATACTGTTAGGTGTTAGGTCTACCTAACCCCACCTTTCTGGGCTCTGAATAGGGTTAAGCCATCAGTTGTAGTTTGCATCACAAGTTATCAGTTTTCTTAGGTGAGATTACATTGGCCAACTTTAAAGTCAAAAGAAAATGGTTGATTTAAAATACATACTTGAAAGGAGCAAGAGAATTCATAAGCTTCAAAGTCTATACTTTTGATCTCTCTTACAATCTCCGTCCCCAACTTCCACATCTACATAGACTTTTAAATTTTTATTTATTTATTTTTCCCATACTGGGGGTCAAACTCAGGACCTTGTGCTTACAAGGCAGGCACAGCCCCACTGAGCTAAATCCCCAGCCCTTCTACCTAGACTTTTAAAAGCTAAGCAGTAGAGCTGAGGATTTAACTCAGTGGTGCTGCCGCCTGCCTCATGAGCGCAAGGTCCTGAGTTCAATCCCAGGTACCAAAAACTGAAAGTTAAGCAGTAAGTTCACTTAAAACACATAGCCCTACTTACCCCCAAAACAATGCCAGATAAGGTAGGACTCTCCTCTCCATATCCTCTCCTACCACATCTTTCACTGGAAATCTATTTCATGTTTCAAGGATCACTTGTTAAAGTATCTCAAGCATAAAGAGACAGAAAGTTTCCTCTTATAAAAAGGAAATTACCCTATCACCTAGTAACTATCCATTGTTGCACTATTGGCTGTCCCCCCAGGTCAATAAAAATGTTCTTTTGATAGCATAGGTTCTTTTAATAGCTACACAAGATTACATGCACACATATTTTAAAAGTAATTACTAAGCAATATGGTTAAGAAATTTGGTACAAAATACTTAATGGAAGACAACACTGTGCAGTGATTAAAACTGTGGTTAGACATTGAAGTAGTTTTTTTAATATTAAAAAAGTAAAAGAAACAATAGAAAAATCCAAATATTTTTCCTACTTGTATAATTTAATCCACACAATTTCTTTCTTTCTTTCTTTCTTTCTTTCTTTCTTTCTTTCTTTCTTTCTTTCTTTCTTTGTTTTGAGATAGGGTCCTGCTATGCAGTTCAGGCTGGCCTTGAACTTGCAGTGATTCTCCTGCCTCAGCCTCCCAAGTGCAGGGATTACAGGTGCACACCACTATGCCTGGCTCACATAATTTCTATAGTAGTGCTGACTCAGTATTTCACTAATTTAAGATTTGGCAGGAAAACAAGGCATACTTAAGGAAAACATAGATTTTCTTCCTACTTCCCCAATTCTATTCCAACTTGGACCCTTGAATTACTAATATATTTTGCAGCTCTTGAATGATACCATTCAGAAAAAAAATATATCCTGCTTTTCTTCCATTTAGAAAAGGAAATAGGGCCAACTAACTGTCAAACATTTTAAATATACATGCAAACAGGGCCAGGGATTCATCTCAGTGGTGCCACCTGCCTCTCAAGCATAAGGACCCGAGTTCGATTCCCAGTACCAAAAATATATATATATTATATATATAAATATATATTATTAAAATATACACACACAAAACTGAAAATTTTGTTATCAAGTATTTGTGCTTTTGGGGGATGTAACTCTTCAAGTTGGTCAATATTGTATATAATTGAGCTATCAAGTGTCTCCCTTAACATTCCTTAGTGGAAAATAATACAGTTCATTATACAAATATTAAGCACTTACTTATTTTATGCTAATGAACATTCCAGATAGTGTCTGGGAAGAAATTTTCTATTGAGTTCATAGCCAGCGAAACCACGTGTTCCAAAGAAAGCAATCAAGAATTAACTGAAAGCTGTGAGACCAAAAAACCTGGTGTGAGTATTGGTGCACTGGTCTATTTTTCCCCCCACTGGAAATCTGTTTTACATTTTTAAGGATCACTTGTTAAAGTATCTCAAGAATAACGCTGGTCTTTTGGCTTCTTTTTTTTCATGAACAGCAACGTCTAACCTGCAATGCTGCTGTTCTTGTGATACCCTGGGAGGAAAAAATCCAAACTACGGTCAACTGTCAAACACTGGGAAAGGTATGGTTCTAATTAGAGGCAGAATGGGGTCAGTTCTGCTCTTTCTGGGAAGCCATATTTTTGGGTTGAAAATGAACTGTTACTGAATTGATTGGGGGGGCTATCTTTTTGAAATGGGGAGAATTCTCATATTGCTGTGCTGTCTTTTTTGTTTTTTTTTTACGGTGCTGGGGATTGAACTCAGGGCCTTACAAATGAGAAACAAGCATTGTACCTCTGAGCAGCATCCTCAGTCCCCGATCTCTTTTTTTTATGGCTAGAAAGAACAGTACCAATTCTCTTGATCACTTCTCAGACACTCACTTCCTGGAGGTCCTATGGGCTGGCCCGCTAAGGTACTTACTCTGAGGGCTAACCCTGGTTCCTCACCTTCACGGTATGCCTGGGGCAGATACAGCTGTGCTCTGGTTATATCCACAGAGTTTTGTGAGAAATAGTCACCCAAGATTTACTGAATCAGAATCTGCATTTTAAAAAGATCCCCAAGGTCATACATACATTTTAAGTCTGAAAAGCATCAGTTTGCATCATCCTTTTAAGCCTTAAAAGAACTCTGGGAGCTAAGTATCATTTCCTCCATGGACCAAGATAAGACACTAAAAATTAAACTGTAGGGCCTGGTATTTAGCTGAGTGGTGCCGCCTTCTGCCTTGTAAGCACAAGGACCCAAGTTCGATCCCTGGTACCAAAAAACAAAACAAAACAAAAAAACGAAAAAATTAGATTGTAAAGTCTCAGAGTAAATGACAACATTATTAAGTACTTTATCTGCCCAGACATTGTACAGCAAGCTTTGCCTACATTTTCCATTCATTCTTCGTATATCTCTAGGAGGCGGCACTGTTACAAATCTTACTTTGCAGAATAGTGAAGCTAGTAGTGCTCTGAAGCAAGTGGAGCTCAAATCCAAGCTCAGCCTCTCCACCATAACACAGGTTACTAGAAGGGTCTGGCTTGACTCCAGAGCCCACACTGCTTGACCACTGAACACTGTCTTGCAACTTGTATGTTCTCACAGGTAATAAAAGTGTGGGTGGCAATAATCCACAAATTCATATCTTCAGCACAAGTTGCCTCTTCTCCCCTTTTCTAATTCAGGTTCTTGTCACAGGTGCATATGTAGATAGCCTAACACAGCATTCCACAAAGGTTGCATCTCAAACTGGTGAACGTGTCCTAATGTGTTTCAGCACAACAAAGTGAACATGGGTACCACACTCCCGATACATTTCATTCATAAAGACACTTACAGCATTTTAGGATAAAGGCAATAATGGTAATGGGAATAGAAATAGTATCAATTAGTAAATAGTGTGCCGTGGACTTATAAAATCATATGTTTATGAGATATGAACCCTAGAGATTATGCAGCTCACTCGATTTTTCCAGATGAAGACAAAACTCTCCAGCTTATTTTAGAGTGTGATTAAGAACAACAGCCAATGTTCACAAATTCTACAATGGATCAGAAGATGAGAAAATATTATTCATCCTTTCTGGAAGATGAATATACTATTTAAGATCTAGCAAACACCTGTCCTATCATAAACAAAGATAGCATTTCCAGATCTTTTCTTTCTTCACTGATAGTATGGTTTCTGCAGTAATGAATTCATCTTAATATTTCCTGTTTAGATGACACTGATGAAAAGGCCTCCAGGTTTTTCACCTTTCCGAACAGTGCAAATACAGAGAACAGAAGAAACCACTGTAAGTCCACCTTACACTTCCATGGCTCCTGTACAAGATGAAGAGCAGGATCCAGAAAAAGAACAAGAACCTACTCCTGGGCATGGCCAGGGCCATGAAAAGCAAACAAAACATGGGCTTGGCCATAGTCATAAATATAAGCATGGCCTTGGCCATGGACATCAAAAACAACATGGCCTTGGCCATGGTCACCAGCAGCAACATGGTCTTGGTCATGGCTATCAACCTGAACTTGACTATGATCCTGAACATCAAAGAGGACATGGCCTTGACCATGGACATAAAAATAGGCATAAGCATGGTCATGGCCATGGAAAACATAAAAAAGACAAAAGCAATGGAAAGCACAATGGTCGGAGAACAGAGCATTTGGCAAGCTCTTCTGAAGATAGCACTACACCTTCTACACAGACAGAAGAGAAGACAGAAGGGCCAACACCCACCCCTTTCCTAGCCCAGCCAGGTGTAGCAGTTACCTTTTCTGGATTTCAGGACTCAGGTCTCACTGAAGCTGTGAGGCCTACCACACCATCAACTCCCTCCAAGGATGATGATTGGATCCCAGATATCCCGATAGCACCAGATAGCCTTTCCTTTAAACTGATACCCGACCTTCCCGAAACAACCTCCCCCAAATGTCCGGGACGTCCCTGGAAGCCAGTTGTTAGAAATAAGTTAATCATGCAAATGATTGAATTTCATAATTTTGATCTCATTGATGCTCTTGATTAACTCACAAAGCCATGATATCTCCTTAACACTTCCTCACCTCTTTTCCCATCGTCCAAACGCAAGTATCCCGATAGAAGACACCAAAACCCCCATGAAGCTTCAGAACAGCTTAGAGAGAAGTGATGAGATTCCCAATAGGGACATCCCCAATCCCTACGGACTTCACAAAACTGAGTGCAAGAGTGCTAAGTCCTTTCTCAGTTCTTCCTCACACATTTTCTAAACTAGCATAGAAAATGGGCAGACTTATGGCCTACTGCAGTTTGCTTCTCTGATAATGGATGTGTACCTTAAAATGTACGTTGTCAATTTTCATGCAAAGATTCCCACCATTCTGAATAAACTGTGGCACCTGGTCCCTAAGTGTGTGTGAAAATAAGGGAAGTCAAGAGACTGAATACTGAATTTATTAATGGGATAAAAATATACAAAAATGTCCAGATACCAAAGATGAATAACAAGAAAGAAAGGTTGGCCAAAGGGAAGGAAAGGAGAAACCAAATTAATTGAATTTCTGTTTCCAGAATGGGCTACTTATATCAAATAGGTACTTCTACCTGTCCAAGTTATTCTGGTCATTGCTCATCTAAAGAAGGGTGTGTTCCTCACAAGTCAATAATTTCTGTTAACTCATTAACTATTCTTTCCAGCAAGGGTTTCAAATAGGAGTTTTGGGTTTACTTTTGCTCTTAGATTGAGTAATCTTTAGTTTTCAGAAGCTCTGAGTTTAATGATAAGGATGAAAAACACGGGAAGTAATATAGAGGCAGTCTTGCACTGGGCATAGTGGTGTATGCCAGTAATCCAGCACCTAGGAGGTTAAGGCAGAAGGATCGCCACAAGTTTGAGACCAGCCTGCTACTTAGTGAGTTCAAGGCCAACCTGAGTTATGCGCCTAGCTCCTTATTTAAAACAAAACAAAACAAAACAAAACAAAAAAAGTAGACGTACTGAGGTGACTTTTTTTTTTGTAATTGATAAGGAAGTACGTGAACTTTGTTCAGAAATTTAATAAAGAAATTCCTCTTTACCTCACTTTAAAATCATGAAAGAGACTAATACTCTTTGCATTGCCTCAGTGCAAGGAAAGCATATATTTTATAACCCATTCTGTACTTCAGTGTAGAGAAGCAAGACATATTTTTGACATCTACCTCCTCTGAGTGTCACTGCTTTTTCAATTTATTAGATGCATTTGAGGTCTGAGTTCTTAGCTCACTTCAAGCACTGTTGACAGTTTACACAAAGAACCAATAACATCAGTTAAAGTTCTCTCCTTGTCAACTGGCTGTTGCACTATCTTTAAACTGAATAATAATGTCAAATTAACAGAGTTTTACTATACTTACAGAGGCAGCTAAGGTCCTGCGAGTACAAGGGCCAGCCCGAAAGGCAGGGGCAGGGCCAACATCCAAGAGCTCAGCCTCCTGAGCAGAGGGTGGAGTCTCCACGCCCAGCGCCATAGCCCCAGCAACCTCTGCCACCAGCCTTGCGTGGAGACAAGAAGAGACGTGGGATCAAATTTAAACAGAGAAGAATAATGCTTATCACTGAGTTGCTGGGTGAAATAAAGTGCAGACTTAAGTAATTCATAGTGGTTTCCTGTCAGCCATGGTCACCTTGTGGCAAAATCCAGCTGATCACCACTTCTGCCCCCGAAGCTCACAGCCTGGTCTGAACACTAATGGAAGCAGGAATCCTTAGTGGGATCTGCTTACCGCAGCCCGCTGTGGGGGCTAAAGGGAGGGTTCCTGCCTCATACTCCTAAGGCCTCCCTTCCCCACTTCCCTCCTTTGAATACTGCCCAAACTAGGAATAGTTAGACTGCTTATGATTGATCTTATAATTTAGATAATTACCAAAGGAAAAAAAAATCTTGGTTAATAATAGGCTGTCTACCAACTTCCTACCATCAGAAAATATCAACCATGAGCCGGGGATTGAGCTCAGTGGTTCCACTGCCTGCCTTGCAAGCACAAGATCCCAAGTTTGATCCCCAGTACCACACACACACAAAAGAAAAGAAAAGAAAAGAAAATATCAGCCGGGCGTGGTGGCACATGCCTGTAATCCCAGCACTTGGAAGGCTGAGGCAGGAGGATTGTTGTGAGTTCGAGACCAGCCTGGGCTACATAGTGAGTTCCAGGGCAGTCTCAACTACATAGTGAGACCCTGTCTCAAAAAAACCAAAAAAAAAAAAAAAAACCAAAAACAAAAAGAAAGAAAAGAAAAAGAAAGAAAATATCTAACCTCCAAGAGTATAAAACTAATTTGGAAACATCTTTCTGATTCAGGTAAAAGAGAAAATAGGAATGAACCATGACAAAAATTTTAATTTTTCCGTAACTAAAACATTTATTGAATGCCAGTGATAGCCCCTTACTGTGTCAGACCATTGGATTTGGGTTTGTAGCTTAATCCTTGCAACCATTGTGAGGCCCCATAATCATCTTGCCCTTACGGGAAACTGTGGCTCTCGGTGCCTGGCCCAAGGCCACACGGTTAATAAGTGCCAGGCCTGGCATTTAAACTCAGACCTTTGGGACTCCAATCCACCAGGTCAGATTGAGGCTTCATCATTAATATTATCTTTAAAAACACACAAACACACCAAGATAATTTCCAGCTCTGAGATGGTCAAGATCTCTATTTAAAAAAAAAAAAAAAAAAACAACTTTAAAAATATTTCACTGTGGCTGGTGCTGTTCTGAGAAATGCACAGAGTAAATTATAACTGAGGAGCACTAAGTCCTAGCAAGAAGAGAAATTTTCGAAGACACAAATCGTTTCCTTCAAAGAGCTTACAATCCCAAAGGGAATTGGGCACATGGGACAGAGACTCAATCTATGATCATCTATGGAAGAGCAAAACCACTGACCATTGTGTCCGGGACGTGTTGACGAGGCAACGGGGCCGACTTGGAAAGGCAGAAGGAGCACATCTGGGAAAGCGAAGTAGGCGATGGTGTCCCTGGTACAGTCCTGGCTGTGGCGTCCTTGGCAGTTTGCGACATGCTGCGATTATTCTGAAGATTCTGGGGAGTCCGAATGCCGAGACTCCAGTTGCGGTTCTGCTCTAGGTGTCTCCAGACCGACACGTTTCAAGGGAAGGGTGACCACCCAGAGCTGACACACAGCCTATAGTCCCTGCCTTTGTTCCTCAACAAGAAGGACTGTGCTTCCTCTTCAAGCCTTTATTGGACAACCTCATATCCTATGACCGAGCACCTCTCTGTCTCCCTCTCTCTCTCTCTTTCTCTCTCTCCTCTCTCTCTTCAGCACTAAGCATTGAAACCCAGGCCTTTCATGTGCTAGGCAAGTGCTGAAGCACTGAGCTACACATCCAAGCCCAACCTTCCTCACTTTTATTTTTTTTTAATTTTTATGTTTTGTTTTTTTTGGTTTTTTTGAGACAGGGTCTCACTATGTAGTGAGACTGACCTGGAACTCACTATGTAGCTCAGGCTGGTCTCTAACTCACAGCAATCTTCCTGCCTCAGCCTCCCGAGTGCTGGGATTACACTTTTAAAATATCTGCCCTTGGGGCCAGGGATTTGGCTCAGTGGTTCTGCTGCCTGCCTTGCAAGCACAATCCCCGGTACCACAAAGAAAAAACAAAGAAAACACTGCACTCTCTTTGACTGTAAAATCAAAGGCACACCCCGGGTTTAGGACCCTGGAGCCACACAGCTCCATCTCTCTATGGGTCTCTTCAGTGAAGGAATCTCCTCAGGTCCAGTCCATCCTACATTCCCTGTGTGGCCTAGATCTAACTCCTCAAACTGGAGGCCTTCGCTGGCTTCTTGTCCCACCCTCCCCTTCCTGCTGAGTTTGATTCCAAAAGACTTCACTCACAGGAGAACACCTGCTTTTTGGCTCCATCCCAATCTGCCCCACACTGTCAGCTGGAGGAGAGTGTTCTCACCATTTCCACCGGGCCCTCTGAAGCAGCATCCTTGGAGCCATGGAGAGGTAGAGGTAAGTGCCCCAGCTTCTCAAGGAGATGGGATTTCAGGCTCTCCCTATAGATGACCAGAAAGCAAAATGCCATCTCAAGGCCTTACAAAAATGCATTTGTTATATCACTTAAAGCTTTTATCTTCCGCCTTTATTTTACAGGAATCTTCATTCGAACATCCTTCTGTCTTTTGCACAACGTTGGTTGGAGGTATTACCCCGTGTCTTCACATCAGAGACTGTGCAGTGGAAACAGTTACAGATCAGGGCTCTATAGTTAAACAGAACTCAAAATCCCAAAGGGCTGGAAACTTATTTAACTTCCCAAAGCCTAAGAGGATCACAAGTTCAAGGTCAGCCTCAGTCTCAAAATAACCACTCCTGCCAGAGACTTGAACTCAAAGCGTCTGGGGACATTAGGTTATTCCAATGTCCAGGCAAGGCTAGGAATCTGGGAAAATGGAAATTAGGAAGCAAACATTACCAGCAACTTGTTATAAACGGATTACAACATTTCAATCACAAGTATATCTGCAAAGGCAAAACGTAGTACACACCGTGGTACACATACCTCATTTTCTGACAAAACATTTCGCCCCAGGGCTAAACTCTAAAAGAAAGATGCTACGTATGTCCTAGTAATGTCATCATAGTTAATTTTTCACTGAGTGCTTATGACATGCTAAGTATTAGTTACAGGAATTAATGCCTTTTGATCCTCATAACATGCCTATGAGGAGACTGTATTATTAGTCTAATATTTCTGATGAGGGTCTCACTAAGTTGCTGAGGCTGACCTTGAACTTGTGATCCTCTTGCCTCAGGCCCCCAGTTAGCTGGGATTTCAGACACACACCATCTTCTGTAGCGGGGGAATTTTGTTTTGTTTCGGTACTGCTGGAGGGATCCACTTGCTGAGGGTCACGCGTGCCAGGAAACGATGTACCACTGAGTTGCATATCCAGCCCTTCACATATTTTTGAAAATGGGTTATAAAACTTAGAAAAAATTGAAGGAAGAAGGGATGGATGAATAGGTGGACAGTCAGAAGGGAAGGCGGGTAGGTGTTTGGGTGGATGACTACAGGATGATGTGGCCTAGGACGGGCACAGCAAGGACACATTTGAGAACTGCTGGGTGTGGGGGTGCCTGCCTGTAATTCCCATGCTATGGGAGGCTAAAGCAGAATATCAAGTCTGAGTCCAGTTCACAAGACCCTGTCTTAAAATTTAAAGCAAACAGAACCAGGAATTAGTTCAGCTGGCGCCATGCCTGCCTCGCAAGCACAAGGTCCTGAGTTCGATCCCTGGTATTCGGTAGTGGTGGTGGTGGTGGTGGTGAGGTTAAAACAAACAGAGAGGGGGGAATGGGATAAAAAAATTTTAAAGACAAACAAAAC